TCACCTAAATTAAAGACAAGTGTTTTGCAATAATTATTGCTTCAGCTGTTTAATTCTTGTGATAATAAATTCATGATGTTTCTCGACTCTTGGCAGGTATATAACAGGTGAGACAGATACCTTACAGTTGACTGAAAAAGAAAGCTATGTTCAATCGAGAGACAGATGCGGAGCGAACGCGACGAATCGAGATTTCCTCATGACAGTCATGACATTCGTGTCCCGCAAGCCACGACCAATCAAGATTTATGGGTTGACAATTCGATTTATCCCTTTAACAATCATTTTGATACTCATGTCTCACCTATCTACAACTTTTATTTCCGCCAATAAATTACTTATATGATGAAAAATGCCATTTTTTATAATATCAAATGTGATATTATTTTATTTTCAACAGTGAAGAATAATTTTGGATAAAATAAAGTAAATCCAACACTAATGATTGAATGGTACAAGAAACTCTTTGGTTTTCACCATTTTGCTAATGAAAATTCCACTTGCAGGGCGTGTACATTATAAGCACATTAATTATTTGATTTTATAGTGGGTAACGTGCGATGATGGTAGTTGCAACGTGGACTGTACTAATTAACCGTGGAATGCAGTATCTAGATTGAAATCTGGGTGACCCGACGCCCTGAGGCCATCACCTCTTGGTTCACCCGCGGGCCTCTGAGGTCCAGTTGCTCCAACCGCTTGTCGTACCACAACATGCAGGTCCGCAGGTAAAACGCGAATTATAAAGTAAAGAAATAAAAAATTAAGAAGATAGAGAATAAGAAAAGTCTGCAACTGTAGATCAGCACCCGTATATACTTATTCTCTTCTACTTCTTCTTCTTCTTCTTCTTCACCTCTTTTTCTTATCCTCATACTACCTTTCATCTTTATTCCTAAGTCTCTAGTGCAGCTTCAAGCTTCTGCACACTCATCTTTGAGTTATTATCGCGCGAGCAGGGGGCACTATAACTTCGATCAGGCTCCAAGAGCTCCTGATCAAAAGAGAAAATAATAACGATAATAATGATGCGATGAGAGTTATTGTTGAAGATATAAAATATAAGGAATATAGATATTTTTTTTATTTTATTTATTATCGTGATACTTGGAAGTGTTGAAATAATAAATATTAAATATCAGAAAGAAATTAAAATGCAGTTAAAAATAAAGAATAATTATTCTTATAAATGTTAATGAAATCTGATGATGTGTTAAAAACAAAATCCAATAAGAGTAACGATATTTTAAATGTACATCATCTTTTACACACAAGTTATGCCAATGACTCGATAATGTCGCGACAAATTTTACACGAATGTTGTAGGAGAAGTAATCAAGGTTTTTATTGGTGGGACGAGAAATCAAAGAGAAACGTGTAGGCGATGTGGCAACGACCTTGTTTCCTTTCTACATTAAAATGTTTCCAGACGTCAATAGATCAATCGATGAATTTAATGATAGTACAAATAGATATGATTGATAATTATATACATACTAATTAATATAACGATCGATATTCTATAAATACTAATATATGTACAGAAGTTGAATATATCGAGTGTCCATATACATATGTTAAAATATTCATTGGAATCTTATCATTGACACTTTACTTTACTATCTATAAACTAATTTTCATTTCATTCCTAGTCTTTCCCTTCACATACATTCCTTTTTTTCACCAACTAGTTGATGATTTGGCTGGTATATCGCGTAAACATGAAGCTCATCGAGAGATCCCGATCAACGATCACTAACCGGTTTCTACTTTAATCAAGTATCGATCGATCGAGATGGATCGATGGACCATTTTAGCACGGCTCGCGTTGATCGTCGTCTCGCTTCGTCGACTTTAGCACCGCCTTCCTATGAATTACGTTAACGTCTCCAAGTCATCTTACGTTTATTATCAAATCTTATTTTATAATCAAATGTTTTCAAATAAAATTATCGTGTAAAATGAAATTAATTTTTATCTAATTAAATCATGGAATCGTTGATAATGAATTTCAATTTTCTACGGTTTGAAAAATTAATAATACAAACAAACAGTTTAATAAGAAATGATCTTGTATGATAAGTAGATAAAAAGAGTAAGACGATTCGTAGGATGTGGCGTACAGGTCAAGTTACGCGTTGGTTTGCTTTACAAATCATTTCCTTTCCTACATCACAGTGACTGTTCTAAGCATTTACATGATTTCAATGTGCAGACTATGCAAATTTAAATTTGTTGAGTAAGCCAATCTTTGGTCAGATAAAACACAATTTATACGAGAAATAAATGAAGAATAAACTTCTACAGAAATGAGATCGGAATTAGTTGTAGCAAAATTTTGTCACATAATTCACGCAAAAACCACATGGATCATTACATTATATACGTGCTCGATCAAGCTTGGAGTGAAAATTTCTGTGGTCAATTGACGGTAACTGCGTGCCAAGGAGTTTTATGTCCCGCCTACTGAGCACACATACGAATGTATAACTTAAGTATCTGTAGATTGGCAAAAAAAAAAAAAAAGGTTAAAAGAAGAAGAAGAAGATGAAGAAGAATAAAAAATAATAGTAGTAGAGAAAGAAGATCAATGAAAAACAAAAAAAAAAACAACCTGTGTGTGTGTGTGTGTAAGTAAAATTTTACAGTAACATTTCTTGTCGTAAACGTCACGTATCTTAAGCTAAGAAGTATTCCACTTGTCTTAATATACCTGATTCTAGACTACAAGCAATCGGAAGCATCCAAGACTTTATCAGAGACTAGACGGTGAATCGTAAAAGCATCTACTACTGGCGTCGTTCACGAAAATGGCTAACGATTTGATGTCGATACGAGCAATCGTCTGGGGACCGGGTGCGGTCACAGAATGTGATTAAGAGAGAACGTAGCGCTCGTAATGCCACTCTAAAGAGCCCGTACCTGTCCACGACCGGATAATACCTGAAAACATGTCTCTATCGCCAAGAGAATCTTCGTTTGTGGGTATAACGCCTTCACATAAACCCAACATTTTATCCCTCTGTGACCAAGACGGTTTTACAGTCTTTCTATACTTACGACTCTTGGACGTTAGTTTCATGAGCTTACATAGATTTGAATTCATGTAAAATATAGACTATCTATTTCCTTATATTTTTCTTTTGCTCTGCTTTATTCAATAATTTATCTTATTATGAGATTAAGTTTATTGCATAATTTTAAATTACTCTAATCTTTATATTATTATGATTAATTATTGTTTTACAAAATAATTTGTTAAAATGAGTATGATTGTTAATATTTTTTAGTAAAATTATATTGTATTGGAATATAATATGTAATTTTGTTGGAAAATGAATAATTTTACAGCATTTATTTATATAATATATTAATAAATGCATAAAATTTTTCTGAAGGAGAAAAAAAATAAGAAGGATGTCTGAAGAAATGCCTGCTTAGCAAACTTATTGAACTTATCGATATTCTATCGACGTACCGTCGGGGTCATCACACCTGAAATCAGCATTAGACTCAAGTGTTTCATTGACAATAATGCGTATATTTATAAACATTCGTTAATAAACTCACCAGTTTGATGAAACTTTTGAGATATTTACAATTACAGTAGAAATTGATTCTTTTGAATGATTATTGATAAAACTTATTCAACAGCTTTTTGTATAAATTAAATAATTTTTCAAGAATAAAACTCGTAACTACAATATTTGCATTGAATCATGTTTAAAGATAAATCGAAAGGTTGTCGAAATGTCAATGAAATAATTCGAAATGTCAAGATTTAAAATACAAAGTTACATGACGTGAAATAGAAGTGACAAATAATACAAAAAATATTTGTACATTTGTTGATTTTCTTAATCTACAAAATAATTATTATTATAAAGTTTTTTTACGTGATAAATATTTCAAAAAGCTATCAGTATTTTTGCACAAATTGTAATCGAGCACATTTCACGTTGAATATTATTGTCAAACAAAGTGTATTATTACACAACCCTGACGGCTGTCGAGTAAGTTGTGATGTCGTGACGATCACCGGAATTTCCTGTTGCTTGTTCACTTGGTACTTGTTAATCGCTTCCACTTGTCTTTTCTTTTCCAACTACACTATCGAGTTTCTATTTACAAATTATTGTCTTCAAATCGTTATCCAGAACATCACACGACTTTACGTGCAAACAAATACAATTCTCCTTTTATTTTACATTCAAAAATTCCTCCAACATGAATAACAATAATTCACATATTGACTGTCCAATGAATTGATGATTGCAATAATGATTCAGTGTAGTTGATTAATTTTTAATTAAATAATTTACCATCAACTCCAAGGGTCTTCTCAATCAAAAGTTTAACAAAGTCATAGGTCTCAACGTCACCAGAATAACTGAGCAATTAAACGAAGTGACTGGGCGTAATTTGTAGGACTACAAATACAATCAAAGTATGTTATGATTGTCAGTATGTTATTTATTTGAATTTACTGGTAACACATGACCAGAACTTGAAGAAATTATACTCATTTTCATTTCAATTTTTTCAAACTTTTTTTTTTTTTTTTTGTATAATTTCAAGTGAAATTAATTAATTAATAGTAACTAGTAAGTTAGAATTAAAGTCATGAAAATTTTTTAAACTACAGTAGTCACGCTTGGGCTGACATTAGTGACAGTAGCGGGAACACAAAGTTTGCAATTAGACACATGTCCGGAAGACAACGGCAGCTCGTCATCACTTCACGTTCGTGATGCCATTATCCTCAAGATTGTGATTTGTTCCAGAATCGTGACAGATCCTTGTCATATCACAACACAAAAACCTCATACTCTTACAGTTATAAACTCAAACCATTATAATCTTTAATGTTTACTTTTTATTTTCTAATGATAAGAAAAGTATATTTCTCTTCAATTAAAAATTTTTTTTTTTTTTTTTTTCTAAATATTTTCAACAAAAGTAATGATTTAATTGTAAATAATAGTTGATTTAAAACTTACCAGTATAACACCAAGCCGGCCAAACGACGGGACTCTCGGTGTCCAATTCCCTCATTCTCTCAACGACCCGCGGACATCTCCACTCCGTCGGTCGTCTATCAGTAGCAGTCAATATGTCCAGGATGTCAATTGATGATCAACAACACGAAAAATGAATGTAATAATTAGTGATAAAAATAATGAAAACACTTAAAAGTATATATCAGGTTACTTTACAATAAGTCCTGAGTAATAAATACACAATATCACTTGCAGACTTGAGACTATCGACCTGGGAAAGGTCGATGAGTTATCAGGAACGCACGTGTGCTACACAATTCTATTCTATTTTCTTTTAGGTCATAACCGAACAACTGACTTCACATATACACTCGCGGTGAGTTCTGAGAGACAGATAACTTTAACGATAATCCAAGCTTGACTCAGTTCTAGGCGAACTTGTTGATAAGGCACGAAAGCCGCGTCATCAAGACAAAAAGATTTTTCAAATAAATATATGTATATACATATACACACTTACACATATAAATATATACATATATACTTATAAATAGAGAGATAAGAGTGTATGTGAGACAATGTGACAATTGTCTTAATCTCGAATATATTTGATTATCTGGTAAAATCGAAAGATATAAAACAAAAAGAAACTTTTTATTCACAGGTATGATGGTAAATTGTAAAATGTCAAAGTGTTAATGATAATTAATCTTTCACTTCACTCGCACTAAAACTAAATGTCAAAAGATCACAATTTGGAGCAAAGTAACACCAAAAAAATGTATAGATAAACGCAATAAGTTAGGACGGATTGATAGACGAGTCACGAGTGCATGGTCTTGGATGTTGAGCATACACACAGGTGAGTAGAGTAGCACTTGGGTTGGTGCACCTGCCGCGAAAGTCCGCGTCGTAATGGAAGCGGGGAAACGGGCGGCAGGTAGGCAGGCCCTCGGCTCGTCAACGCTAAGAGAAGGGGTATCAGTCACATGGCGAGGAGGCCGCCGTGTTGGAGAAGAAGTAGGAGAAACGCATTGCTGGGGGAACAGCAGCAACAGCGGAGAATTCATCCACAAGTGGTGGTAAAATCTTGAGAGAAACGAGTAAAGTCACGGTAGGGAGTAGTCATGGCTCGCGCACAAGAGTATGACAAAGATAGATATATTTCCACCTATACTGAACCTGTCGTAGCTCCTGAACGGACCAGGTCGTCAGGTCAACTTGAGGAATGCGTCAGATGGCATCACGGCCAAATCCAACTCATCTTTTCTTCTCTAAGCTTATATAAGTCTCAGTGATGTCTTTAATCAAATATGATCAATTGGTTATTGGTATTGGGCCTAATCCTCTATCATATATCTTTAACATTCAATCCATTCCTTTTCTACTTTTGATATTATAACAAAACAATCATCTTAATAGATTTCAGAAGCATCTCTGAATTTGTATTACATGATAGAAATATTTTAAATGACTCGAGTTATTTCTTTTAAACAACTACTGTTAGTGATATAGTGTGTAGCTACAGGTACAGAGCACGAGAAGAAATAATTTACGACTGAGTTCCGAGTGTATTTCTTAGTCTTTTACCCCCCGGGAGATCAGAAACGCACTGCGTTTACGAATACGAATAGTACCTTATACACATATGTATTACGTCTTCATATTTTTCCTCAAGACCAGTAATTAAAGACATCCCGTCGTTCATTCAGGATGATTTATCCCCTTCAGTTGAAACATGCGTGATAAGATCGCATGATAATACAGTTTTGTAAGATAACATTTATTTTTTGTTTATCGTGAAAAAGTATAAGAAATAAACTATCAAAATACTATGAATTTTCTACACATATGTTTATAAATTCATTTTTAAATAAATTATTGAAATTTCGTTATAAATTCAAGTTGGTACATTGCTTTTATATATCTTCAAATTTCTCGTGTCTAATCTTTCAAATGTACCAGTTTATTTAGGAGACAAATTATCATAAATTAACTCCACCAATCTCTTGAATGCTAATTCAATAATTGTGTAAAGAATATATCAAGCAACTGAGTTTGAAAAGACCTAGGTACAAATTAATTTAAGACATGAATGTGATGATAGACTTGATGGAAATTTGTTCCCTACAATTCTTATGGGAGAGATAAAGAAATAGAGAGTAAAATTTTTTTTAGTAATGCTATTAGGAATATTATTTATGTGTTGGTGATTGGAATTTTCTCGATAAGCAAAAAAGGTTTCAATTAAGAAAATAAAAAAAAAAATAACAAAGTAATTAATTTAGTTTATTAAAGATTAATTTGATAATTGTTAAAAGTAAATTTTTTAAAAAATATCTTTGGGTATTAATGAAATTTTTTACAGCTATATTGATTAAAAACATTTGATATTAATTATAAAATCATGGTGTTATGTTAAGACGATAAATATGATAATAAATATGTGCGCGAAAATGATTAACATACATTCACCAACCACGGACGCACGCGCGAGCAACTGAGGAGTCGATGAGTCTAAAGAGCTAGAAGTCGGAGACGGTAAATCTGTATAAGAAAGATACTTGTATATATATATATAAGTACGTACACGAGGAAAATTACTGAGGAAGCAAATTACACAGGTGTAAACTGTTTATTGAAAAAAATTCGATAAAATACTATTTTATTTATTACTTGATTTAATGAATTGTAATTAAATTTTCGTCAACTATTAAAAGAAATATTATGTTACTCAAATACATTGGCAATTAGTTTTAGCCATTATTGTTATTCTTATTTTATCTAAAATAGAAAACTTTATTGATTACATGAGTTCACTATTAACGGTTTAGAGTTTAATTTCATGATGAAATAAATCTAAGTAAATAAGAGAATTTTCAAATACAAAGTGCAATTTTATAATCAATTTTTTGCAACAATAGAATATATATATATATATATTTTTATTATTTATTTTTTCTGAACTCTTTTCTTTTGTCTTTTGTTTCTTTCTCTGATTTTTTCATTGGGCCAAGGATTTTTATCTTCCGGGTCGAATAGATTATCTTTATTTACGAGCAATCTGCGGGACGAGAAAATTGTTTGGGAACGAGGGTCGCTTATTTAAAAGCCGTAAACTATTCAATGGGCTTTAGGGTGAAGAAGTTACCTTCAGAACGTGGTCATGCACCAACGGCGGTAAACCACAGTGTCTTGTTTTCATCCGTGAACAAGAAAAATCGAGATACAACCACAAAAGAATTTACCAAGTCCTTGTGTGCGGTCAATCGAAAGATTTTTTCTTCAATATTAAATAACCAAAAAAATCTGCGGCAGAGGAAAGAAGTCACTACAAATTTTGCTAAAATCTATAGCAAGCTAAAATATTCCTAAATAGTTATTAAATGTAACAAATTATCCACTAAATGACGTCATCATGTAATTAATATCGTATTGTTGAATATATATAATGACCGGTATCATGGTTCTTTTAGGAATTATTTTATTTTTGACATGACATGAATAAATGCACCGTGTGTTTCAGAAACAGTAGTGATGGGGCACTTCGAACGAAGGTAAAATCAAGCAAGAGGACAAGGAGGTGAGGGATGAAGAGGTAGAGGAGAAGAACTGGAAGTGAGGTGTACAGCGGTCGAAGAGGTCGCTGAGGAAGAAAAGTAAAAAAGCGTACGAAAGAAGCCAAAGATGAAGAAGGAGGAGGTGGATTGAAAGGAAGAAAGATAAAGAGGAGCAACACGAGGTGCAGCCTCGGGTGCCGGGCGGGGCTCAGATATTTATCCCGGTCGACCTCTCTCTTCTCTTTAATCCTCCTTTGCCTCTCGTTGCTTCATCTTCTTCGTATTTCCACCTCTAAAGCTGGAGCAAGCCTTTGGCTATTTGGCGCGACTGCCAAGCAAGTTGCCTACATACGATCGCCTTTCTTGCGATTGACCAGCGGCGTCGCAGCCTCCGTCGTCCTTGAACGACATCCAACCCATTCCAAATACTTTTTCAATCGATACTCTAAATTATTTTTCAATCATTTTATAAATGTTACAGAAGATGTTGAAGAGAAATCTCCACTCAAGGGCGTTGTCCAGGAAACTTTCTTTCATCTTCTGTTATGATGACGCACTTCCGGTCGAATGAACTGCAGCTCTGCCAGTGTGCTTTTGAAAATATTCAGAAAAGAGACACTAAATGAGAGATGGAGCAAGAAGAGAAAGATTCAACGTGCAGCTCCGTGGCCCCGTGACGACCCTAAGAGAGATGTTTGCTCTTGTTGGGGTCTCTCAGATCGGCCACCATCGGCCAAGGTGGCACTACGATGGCCTCTGAAGTAGGAAGACATAAGTTGTTTGTGAAAGGAAGAGAAAGAGAACGTTTAGAAATGTTAAAAGAACGCAATAAAGTGATGTCTATAACTACCTAGCTGAGAGAACGTGCGATAGTAGTGGATTCTCTCATCATTATAATTACTTTGCAAGTATGTTCTAGAATATTGGATCATTATCGAGTGAACTTCATCTTACACAACTACCTATATAACCCTTAGTTTTATTTACATTTTTTTTCATTCATTTCCCGTTCGATTAACTTTTATTACTTTTCATTTAAATAAACTATTTTTACCTAACAATTTATATTCATGTTAGAGAAGGATGGTTGTTAAAAAAAATATTTCTATTCCCGAATATTTTATAAATTATTAAATATTAATCAATCGATAAGTTGATATTTCTTTTCTAAATTCATAACCTCGTGAGGTTTGCGGTTGCATTACAAGGAGGGAATGATATTTCTTACATTATCTTTTTTTAGCTGAACGACTCAACGGTAACTGATAATATCTGTATGTGGTGAGCAAAAGGGATGTAAGTAGAGAAAGAAAAGTATAGGAATACTGGAGAGGGAATTGACGTAGTATAGCTCAGGTGTAAAATCGTCAATTGCCTGGTGTAATATTTTCTCTCAGCACTAGTAGTAGCTGTGGGCGTGCCATGCACGACTAAAGGGAGACAACCAAGGTCTTCTCATCCTGCTGGCTTCTGTGATTATATTTATTATATACTCAGTTGACTATGAGCATAACAAGACATGGGCACAGAGTATAAGATTAACTGAGATATTTATGTCTGATCGCACATTGTTTTACCTACTTGAATCTTTCCTTCATTCGATCATTTACGTAAATATTTATCATTTTACATGATTGAACCTTGACATTTTATATCTGATTTATAGCAATAATTGATCGATAAATTTCCTATTCATTTCGTCACACATCCTCTTGGGAAATGCACAATTTGTATCCGGGATGTCCTTTCACCCGTGTGAATGAACACCGCGTCATCGCATTCATGAGTTTCATGTTCTCTCGCCGACAGTCATGAAATTTCTATAGCTCATAGGTTTGTATAAGCTAGGCTATAACCAGGAAAAAGTTTGTTACTTGCTAGCGAGTTGGCACGGGGGCTCGTTCCATTTGCATAAACACGCACTCATTGATTGCTCGAAGTGGATTGTTGGGGCATTACTTTTACGGATACTTGACTTTAACTATTCGATTTAATTTTTTCATATATCATGGACGAATAAATTATACACTTTTTCTTCATTATTTCAATTCAATATTTAATTATAATTAAAACTCACCAAAAACATCATCCAATGAATCTTCCTTCAAAAATCAGCTTTTTTTTAAACCTGTAACAATTTTTTTTTTTTATTTATTTATTTTAATATATTTAATAGAAATACTATAAAATTGATTCCCAAGTTAGTAAGTCTGAATGATATTTTCTGATTTACCACCCATGTTGAAACTATTTTGCATACTTTTTGACTGGGTGGCTTACTGACAAACTTCTTTAATCTGATTAGAAATACATTTAATAAACTGATTAATCGGTAGCCAAAAAATTGAATGTAAAGATG